GAAGATGCTGAGATTGTCAATCAGAAAGTTTAGCAGTTTGAATCCCTAGTGCCCTGTAACCGAGTGAGCCCCCATTATTTGTCCCAGCTTCTGCCAACCTAGCAGTTGAAAAGCAGGTGAAAAAATGCAAGTAGGAAAATAGGGACCACTTTGTTGGGAAGGGAACAGCGTTCCGTGCGCCTTTGGCATTTAGTCACACCGGCCACATGATCAGGGAGACATCTTCGGACAGCGCTAGCTCTTCGGCTTTGAAAAGGAGATGAGCACTGCCCCCTAAAGTTGGGAACGACTAACACAGATGTGTAAGGGGAACCTTTACCTTTACCTCGTCATGCAACTGGAGAAAACACTTTATTCGCCTTAAGAATTCTGCAAACGTTCTTGCTTTAGTTTGGAGAAAAAAAAGAACTTACCCCTTGCCTGGCTTTATCTTCACTATACTGCGCAGCGACCTCACTGAAACGTACTCCAGCTTTGATTTTCTCCAAGGCTTCCAGAGCTCTGCTGTGTTTCTCACAAAGAATATGCCTCACCTAAAAATAAAAAAACAACAAACCAACCCACAACTGAGATTAGATACATATAAAGAGGTCATTCCACATTTAGCTTAAGAGTACTGGAAAGCTGACAGATCGGGTTTGAGACTTGGGTCCCACGAATGGGGTGAGCTTCTGTTTCTTGCCTCAGCTCCTGCCCATCTAACAGTTCGCACGCAAATGCGAGTAGATAAGTAGGTACCACTTCGGTGGGAAGGTAACAGAGTTCCATGTGGCTTTGGCATAGCGCCATGCTGGCCACATTTGCACGAAAATTGCCTTCAGACAACAGTGGCTCCCTCGGCCAAGAAATGGACTCTAGTACTGTGCCCTAGAGTCAGACACAACTGACAAGGAAATGTTACATTTGCCTTTTACTCCTACAGTTATCTTCCTCAGTACTTGGTAAGCCAAGACACAGTACCATTCACCTCTCACTGGCTAATTTTTGAAAGTTTCTAGTGCAATTTCCCAATTTATGACTAGTTGACTAAGGAAAGTGAGAGGCGAAGAAGCAAGACATTTTAATCCAGGATAATTGATTTCTAATTGTCAAAGAGTGAAAGCAGATAGTCTAAGATTCACATTTTGGTCTTTTTCAGATAAAGAGATCGAGTAGCAAACAATAAGAGGTTTGCATTAGCAGAGCTTTATTTGCCAGTAGCAAATTTAGTGATTTTTCTCTTATCCCAAAGTATTGTTCAGTTATTGTTTATATTTTATTATACATACATACATACATACATGCATACATACACACACACACACACACACACACACATACATACATACTCTGTTTCCCCTAAAATAAGTCCTCCCCAAAAATATTGCAACACAGCAGCAGCCATGAGGTGACCACACTGGCTGCCTCCTGCATCTCAAAAATAATAAGACCTCCCTGAAAATAAGGCCCAGTGCTTAT